TTTCCTGCTGAAGTTGCTGGTTGAAGTGAGCTTTGAGCTCTGCAATCTCTTGCTGGAGCTCCTCGACACGTGGATCAGGTTTGCTCTTCTCCGCTGCTGCAGCCTTTAGGCTCTTCCTCAGCTCCTCTCGTTCCTGAGTGATCTCTTTCAGCTGCGTTTCATAATCTATCCCTCGGTCTGCCGCCTGCATGGCTTCAGCCAACGCCTCTCGCGAATCCTCCAGTTTGAGTTCGGCATCCTGTCTCAGTCCCCTCTCCTCCTGCAGGAGTTTCTGGAACTCTCGGAGCATGAGCGCATGATCGCCCTGCTCCTGCTCCCGTTCGTGCTGCTGGGTGATGACACGGGCTTTGCTCTCTGCCAGCTGCTCCTGCAGGCTCTGGATCTCCACCTGGTGCGGCTTCTGCTCTTCCTCCATCCTGGCCTGCAGCTCCTCCAGTTCCTGCTTCATCTTGCGCTTGTCCGCCTGGAATGAAGCTTCCATTCTGGACTTTTCTTGAGTGACGGTGGCTAAGGAACTGGTCAGAGTGGACAGCTGCGTCTTTAGGTGGATGACACGGCGGTCTGTGTCCACTGCAGGTGGCGGCATCTCCGTACATCCACTGCTGCTGGAGCTGATACCACTTTCAGACCCACTCGCCTCCTCAGATTGCTGGGGCATCGCGTTTGCGACAGTCCCAGCGGTGGCTCCGTCTACAGCACAGCTTTGGTCCTCCTCTATTTGGTCTCCTTTAGTACTGTTGCTGGTCAGGCTGTCTTCGCTGTGAAGTGAAGATCGGTCATCCCCAAGGTCAGAGGGCAAAGGTCGTTCAGCATTTTCTGAACCTACACCAAACGACAGGTTATCACCACGCTGGCTTAAATCAACCTCTTGCGAAATGGTCAGAACCTTCAGGCTGGCTTCCAACGCCTCTTTTTCCTTAAGTAGGCTTTGGTACGCTCTGACAACATCTTTAAAACGTGTCTGATACTTCACAAGCTGTTTCTTCTGCACTTCGATGGTTTCCAGCAGTTCCTTCTTGCTCGAGCCTCCACCAAAGCTCATACTGAACTTATCCATGGTGTACCAGTGTCAGTCAGGTTTCATACTCTCTGATGTGATCTCCACCTGCAAAGTAAACATGATATTTTGCGATATCTTATTCAAACCAAAACATCTCCAAAATGCTTTTGTGAATAATGGTTGTTTCACACTTCAAAATTATCTATGAAAAGCACAAATTATAAAATGAAAATAAAACAAACACTCATAATTTGACATTAAACTTTTTCGTGTTTGTTAGTCTTTGAGACTGCTTTTGCCTGGTATTTTAAGAAAATACTGACTATATTTATTGCTCATATCTTTGATTGATGCCTTTAACTAAATAGTTAGCAAATTTGTAAAGGTGTGAGAATACATACATTATATTAAATCCCACATCATGACATTTAGCTCTAAAGCACCGGTGCAAAACATGTTAAAAGAATGTGCACTTCTTCTTTTTTGGTTTTTATTGGCGGTTGGCAGCCTAACTTATTGGTGCATTACCGCCACCGACTGGACTGGACTATGGATCAGGATATTTGCTTGTATATAGGATGAAAATAAAACATAAAAACCAAGCAAAACAAATAAACAAACTAGAAAATAAAACAAAATAAATAGTTTTTTTTTTTAAAAAGACTATATTCTTTTATTTAATTTACTTTCTATTAAACATTTAATAATATCTTACTAGCTGTTTACCCTAATAGATCTGATAAAGTAAAGTCATGGTGTTTTACCTTCTTCAATGACTGAATAAGGTGACATCTCTCAATGTTACAGTGAAGTAGTACATGATCAACTGCTTCTTGTTGGCAGTGTATTCATTCCCCAGTTGGGTGTTTTCCAGTTTTATATAATGTACTGTTAAGTCCAGTATGACCTATTCTCATCTGAGTTAGGATACTTCCTTCTTTTCGATTCCTGCTCTCCCTCCTCCCAGCACAGATTTGTTTTTGTATATTGTATAAATGTCTACCTGTTTCATCGTCATCCCAATATACCTGTCATACTGAATGTGCATATGTTCTAATGAGTACTTTAGCTTCTGCTTTATTAATGGGACTTGTAGATCTACTTGCTTTATTCTTAGAGTTTGTTTAGCCAGAATATCCACCTTCTCATTCCCCTCCACACCAACATGAGCAGGAACCCAAATGAAACGTGTAGATATGCACATAACTTTTATATTGTACATCATACACAATATCTCATTGATAATATCCATCCTAAACAATGACCTGCCAGATTTGATACTTTCAAGTGATGAGTAGCTATCAGATGCAATGGCAGTGTTATTTATTTTCTTATCCTCTATCCACTGCAGGGTTAATAATATTGCCAATAATTCTGTTGCACATACTGACAAATGATTGGTTACTCTTTTCTTAATATACAAATCACTCAATGGGATATATACTGCTGCACCTGCATATCCAGTTTCAGGATCTTTGGATCCATCTGTGAATAAAAACACTGATTTTGGGTAATGTTTCTCAAAATAATTCTGGACTATATACCATATTCGAAGTTGTTGAATTGAATTGTCTTTCAATTCCTGCTGTATACTGAGGTCAACATTTGGCAAAGGGAATAACCAAGGAGGAATGGAAGAAATTGAGACTGTATTACTGTACTGTAATTGATGCAATCCTATATTTCTTGCCTTAGAATGTGCGGTTAATTTCATTTGCTGTTCATATAAGCGTAATTAAAGGAAGAAATATCGCATTACCCGAGTACGTGTCCTGCTTACTTGCAGCCGTCACTTCCTGGTTGGGAAGTGACGTTTGAGTGAAAATTAAAAGTGTAAGAGTATTACAAAATAGTGCAGTACAAACCGGGTTTATATGGCAAATTATTCGAAATGTTATCTATAAAAATATCCATTTAACAAATATGAATCGAAATGCAAACATCGATTGCTTTCAGTTCTTTGCTTGTTGTAGTTAATTCGGTTCGAAAACTTAAACAGTGACTACCGCCACCAATAGATATTCTAGAATGCAGTAAGGAGTCTCATTACTTTCAAAATATGTTAATACACACGCAACATTTACAACAAATTTGCATACTTTTAGGGCATTGCATGTTATTATTTGATATTCCGGTGTGTCAGTATTAACCTGTAAAGCCCATGTGCCATAATAGTCAGTCCCCCACCTACCCACCCTTTTTACATTTGAACAGTTTATTGAACCTTTAGACAAAATCTTAAAAAAATAAAATAAAATATATAAGTAAATAAATGATAATAACAACAACAACAATAATAATCATTTAAAAAATCTTTAGTTTTTATTTTTAGATTTTTTTTGTTTTCAGTTTAACTTGAAATTTTGTTTTGTGTTTTTCTGTATTTTTCTTAGTTTTATTTTCATTTGTATACTTTGAATTCATTTTTATTTCAGTTTTAGTTATTTTAATACGTCAACTAAATGACAATGAGAAATGTTTCCTTGGCAATTGGCTGAAGTATAGGTTTATTTATGTATGTTTTATTTTTATTCAATATTTATTTTATTTCAAGTAACTAAATGTCTCTTTGATTTAGTTTTAGTGGAGTTTAACTATAATAACCTTGCTCCGCAAAAATATGCAATTTGGTGCAGTTGTTATTTGTATGGCAAAATGCATAAGAAGAAATTCTGACAGCTTGTAAATCAATGAGATCTTTATAACAGTATAGCAGCTACTTCTGTGCATTGTGGGATTGAATGTGGCTGTCCACTCAAAAGGGTAAGGTTCTTCTTCTTTGTTGTGCTTAACTGGGATTCGCAAAATGAAAAGTGCACTACTGCCTTCTACTGTTATTGTAGCATGCGCTTGTCTTTCCGTAAACATAATTCTGGAATATTTTACACCATCAGAATACTCTTAAAATATGTGAGAAATGATAATCACACACACAAAAAAAGCTAAATGAAAATATAATATCACATTTTGTCATTTTTAAATGATTTTTGAACACTATTTTTCTGTGGACCACCTTGCACTGCCTTGTGTACTCTTAAAAACCCATGACACAGGCCATGTAAAGTAAACTCTCCAAAACCTTAGGAGTGATTTGTGCTATAACCAGTGTTGTGGGTAACGCAGTACAAGTAACGCGAGTTACGTAATCAGATTACTCGGCCAATACTTTTTAGTAAACTGTGCACTGTGGCACTGTTTCTGAAAGCATCTCCCTCTGTTTTTATTCAGCTACAGGAGGTTGAACTGAGATAGGCAGTGCTAACAAACAGGACCTGCCACAATCTGGCAAGCCGGATTGCTAAAAGTGCTGGACCACTAATCAGATGCAAATAAATAATATATGATATGTTGCAGTACAGGACATGTCGAAATGTTCTTTGTTTGTTTCAGCTTCACATTCAGGACTTTGTAATCAGTTCCTGTTCCAACGCACTTTCCTGTACTTTCCTTCCCCATTTCCCCTTTCTTTGTCACCCTTTCCATATATTACTTTTTTTAAAAGCCTCATCATCTTATTAGTAATTTGACTTTGTATAGTATAAGTACGTATTGCTATTAAACAAAGATGAAAGATTAAGGTAAGTATATTATACCATTTTAGGGGAAGACGGGGATAAAAGCATAAAGGACTACATAATAGGAAAACCAGTTTCCTTCTAATTTATGAAGGACTATTACATTTTAATAGCGGTTATGATGCAGTAATGGTCATTCAGACAAGATTATGTCAGACAAAAGCACTTTTGTCAATTCAGTAAAATTAGTAAAAGAAAAACTATTCTTGTTCTACATTACGTTCATGAGTGGAATCATTTAAATGTATTTATTTATATTTTACTTGAAGTATTCAGTATAAGCTTTATGCCTGGTAAAACCATGACAAACATCTTAAGCTCTAAAATAAAGGTTATAGTATAATATTTAATTATTCAGCATTTATTGTTTTAACCACAAATAATTCAATGCTTTACTTTCTACAAACCAAAAAAATAAAGTAAAATATGCATAGTACTTTATTTAATATATTATTGTTAATGCAATTATTCAAAGATGTGATTTCAAGCATGTTAACTGAACACATTTGAAAATAGACTGTAAAAAGGGTTCAGTGCACTTATATTTCAGCTTTCACAGATCCAAGGGAAAATAAATTCATATAACTCCTCACTACAAGGTCTCACACTGGAATATGAAACTTCTAAAGAAATTATAACACCCAGTGAAACATTGTCAAAGAATGCATGTTTGTATACATGATTCCAGTCTAGTACGATTCCTGCATAAAAATATGATGTGATAAGCAGGTCCTTAAGGTCCTGTATTTGTATGAGGAAACCATAGGTTAATGGATTGTATGGGTTAAATGTAAATACACATAAATTATAAGTCCAGTAATACCATAAATGTGACCACTCAAGCACAAATGGGGGCTAAAATATTGACAGCATTTACTCCTGCATTAAAAGACATCAGATGAATCCCTTAACCAGTCCGTAACATTGTAATTGTACAAGAGAAACACATGAACTTACTCTGGCTCAGGTCAAATACACCTGGCACCACCCCCAAATTGGTGTAATTAAATCTTTTACAAAAGAAATTGAGTGTGATTGTGCTAAACATCAGATGGTTGTAATGGCTGGGTCATTTCAATGTGAGGGCACCATTTTGAGCTTGTAATAATGGGTGAGATCAGTCCATATTGTCCTCTTTACTACACAATAACAGGTTCCCGCTGGTTGTTCTGCCTTTTGACTACAAAAACTTTCTGTCCGGAGATGGTCACAGCATAAACGTAGTCTTCAAACATCACTGTGAAAAAAACAAAACAAAACACAATATAACATCAGGATATTTACACCATTGTTTTAAGCATAATTTTGTTAATATAAAAAGTTTATATATATATACACACACTACAGTAATGACAGCTAAGGGAAAATTGTATTATGAACAAAAACGTAAAATGAAAAATTATAGACAAACACATTTCTTGTGTTGTGGGATGTAGAGGTCCACGTGAAAATATGTATGTTTCTTACCTGACATGCGTTTGAAAAGGGGCTCAGCTGCCCCATGCAATCTGAAACGACAAGCTGTTCTGACCATCTGCATGATCACTCCTGCTGTGTGCTCGTCATTCTCCAGCTCTCCTGCGGACTGTAACAGGACAAAATGTATCTATCTATCTATATATCTATATATCTCTATATATATAATATATACACACACACACACATTTATTTTTATTTATGTAATATAAATAATATATTACATTAATATGTTCTATTTGTTTGGACAATTCTATTGGAATTTGCTCTTTAGAACTCAAGATTCTATTTCAACACATTTCATCTCATTATGTCATGTGGTTGCAACATGTAAGTAGATTAACTTTACTGCACATTAAGTGTTTAATGACTTACCGCAAGTACACCCTCCTCACTAATAACCAAATACCCAATCTGATCGGGTATTCTCTCTAAACCTTGGGTCAGAGCGGTGGTCTGCAATTCAACACAAAATAACGCAGGAAATAAACATTAGCAGAGCTCATCTGGCTAATGGTTTCTCAGAGCTTACTGCTTATTTGATCACATTATTTACAATCTCTATCACTTTTTTGTTACCACATCAAAACCTTTTCAGCAAAAGAAACATTAAGCTGAACAAATGCCCCCAAAGTAAACCTTATATTTACCATTTTTAGGCAGTGCAGATGAATTTACACTGTCTTCCTTCACACCCCGCCTCACGTGACTGACAAGCAGGCGTCGCGTGTTTATAACGTCGTATGAGAAGGTAGATGGCTTTTTCTGTAAATTTGACATATGCCCGGAAATCTACAACAAATGATATATCCGCAAAATGATTAGAATATTTGTATGATTACAGAATTCTGACAGTGTTTAGGCTGTTAACGCACATAATCTGACTCAGGATCAGATTTGCTGTCATAATCAGCACATTAACACGAGCAGCACAGATCCCAGATCAGCGGCGTTTACGGAGTAGTCAAAGCGGAAGTGCCGCTCTCCAGTAGTCAGCTGATTAAAGCATATGATCCTGCAGGACGGAAAAAGAAACATTTCATCCATTCCGTCTGTTATTTGAGCAAATATAAGAAAAAAGACAAAATGCCTGGACGGGGGAAATTAATCGCCGTTATAGGGGATGAAGACACGTGTACCGGATTCCTTCTCGGAGGGATCGGAGAGCTGAACAAAAACCGAAAACCCAATTTCTTGGTGGTGGAAAAGGACACTAGCATCACAGAGATAGAGGAGACCTTCAAGTAAGACAGGATTTGATGTCTGAATGATTTAAAATCATACTTATTACAATCCAAATAACAGCCATAAAAATGTGCAATCATATATGTATGAGATCTTGCCTATGATCTATCTATCTATCTATCTATCTATCTATCTATCTGATATGTCTGTTATTAGACATCATAGCTCTATATATGTCCCTATTTAGCATTTTATAGTTTTCAAATAATCAAATTTTGACTTAGAATAGTAGTTTGCATAATTTATAGTACACAGGTCATTTTTTGACTTGAAATTATATTTGTTCTTCATTTCCAGGAGTTTCCTGGCTCGCAGTGACATTGGCATCATCCTCATCAACCAGTTCATCGCAGAGATGATTCGTCATGCTATAGATGCCCACATGGAGTCAATCCCGGCTGTTCTGGAGATTCCTTCAAAAGAGCATCCGTATGACGCCTCCAAAGATTCCATCCTGCGACGGGCCAAGGGCATGTTTTCAGCAGAGGACTTCCGATAAGCCGATACCCCTGTGGGGTCACGGTCTGACCCGGGCAGACGTGAGCGTAAACGAGTTTTACTTCTTGATCTCATCCATCTTGCTGAAGCTGGAACCCATATTATAAAGATTAAATAATGATGTGTTGTTAATGTGATATTCTGTGATGTGTATTTGACCATTCCCAAGTTTGAAGAAGAGGACATTTTTTGTCAATGCTCCTAATAATAATTAAGTTATGTATAATATAATTAATTATATTATATATAAAAATGACAAAAAAGATATGTTATTTTACCCGTTGTGTAATAGACATTATATAACACAAGAATTTATTATAAATGCTGTCTATACCTTTAATTTTTAAAAATGTTTAATTTGAAAGCTGGTAATATTGAACTGCAAAACCACCGTTCACTTATTGACCCCATTTAAATCAGTCTCAAATAACTTAAAATGCTAACTGGACATCTTTGGATCCATGACATCTGTAAATAATATGATGTGCTATAAATGCACATTTTGTCATTGTATTGGCTGACACTTCGAGCACTGCAAAGAGCTTTACATGGTGGGATGTAATTAAAATGTGTTAACTTATGTCTTCAGAACTGTGACTTGTAGTTTATTAAAAGTAATGGAGTCTGACACTTTTTTGGTTTTGTGTGATGAATATCTGATGTCTAAAAAAATTATATATTATTTTACAATGTATTAGTATTATATTATTAATGTATTATATTAGTATGTTTTTTGCAATATATCATTTTATAATATATTAGTATACAATTAAAAAATATATAAAAAGCCAAAGAAAGTACATTAAAAAAAAGTGTTTTTTTCAATGAATCATGTGAAGTGATATGTGAAGTGACATGTGGCCAAGTATGGTGACCCATACTTGGAATTAGTGCTCTGCATTTAACCCATCCAAAGTGCGCGCACACACAGCAGGGGACACACACATGGAGCAGTGGGCAGCCATTTATGCTGCGGCGCCCGGGGAGCAGTTGGGGGTTCGGTGCCTTGCTCAAGGGCACCTCAGTCATGGTATTGAAGGTGGGAGAGAGCGCTGTACATTCACTCCCCCCCACCTACAATCCCTGCCGGTACGAGAACCCGCAACCCTTGGGTTACGAGTCCAACTCCCTAACCATTAGGCCACGACTTCCCCGACTTACCACAAGTATTATAAGAAACCAAGCCAGGTGAAATACATTTTGTTTGGCTTAATATACATGCTCTTTGAAAAAAAATATATTTGGATAAACGACCATGTGTAAAATCCACATAATGTTAATAATCATTAGCAATGAGAAATTAACTGCTTTGGTGCCCGTTCCTGAAAATCATATTATCACTGTGTTATCATCATACACATGGAAGTCTAACTGAAACCTAAAAAACTGATTTATCAAAGTTTACCGTAGGTCTAAGAATGACCAAACACTGTGATGGCAGGAAGTGATTCATTGTTCTGTGGTTTCATACACAACTACTATCAGTTCCCAAATGTTTTCAGAACATTGATAAGGTCACATCACTCTTCTCTGTCTTATATATCTGTCCCTGTCTCGTTCAAGGACAAAATCTACTCCGGTTTGTGGGAATCACACACAACTCAGATCCCAAAAAGATTAAAGAGCTTTTGAATGATCGGGGAATTGTATATAAGCTTAATTCAGCTGTGATCTGCTTCATTCACATTCAGTAAGTCAGTGCTGGTGATGAACAGCGTGTTTCTTGTCTTTTTACTGGTAGCTTATATAAAAATACTCACTATATTAATTCTGTAATGTGCTGTGTTTTTCTTGTATTTAAAAATAAAGTTGTTCACATTTGCATTTAAAATAATGGAATAATTATTTCCATTGTAGTTGTTAATCAGTTCATTAATGTATGCTGCCCTTCTGACATAGCATAAAGACAAATTGCACAAAGAATGCTTGTTTTGTTCATAATCACACGGATAACAATTATATTGTGTTTTCGGCCTCTGTTAGACACACTAATCTAAAATGCCAAATTAAGATGGAGGCATTCATGACAGCTTTCATTAATCGTTTTCACACGGAAATCAAATCTTAAATGACTAGTGAAATGTCAACATAAAGTAGAACAAATAACTTCCTGTCTCGTTATTCCTGTGTCATTCTCTGCATCACCTTCATTCTTTTTGACACACAACAGATTCACTATTCGTATTGCAGCAAATGGCCTTTAAATAATTTCCTTACTGACAAAAGGACAGAATATTGCATAATGCTCAATCAGTATTTCTTGGTGCCTGAAATTCTCTTTCATTTCAGCCGAAGGTTTTGTCTTCTGTCCACTTGCTCCTTGTGGAACCTGGGGTCATTGCTACAGATGGGAAATGAGATTGCTGGGGACATGACCAGTGATCCAATGGGAATTGGCAAGAAATGAAGCATGATCCTGAATGATCAACGAGCCAGTGGTGTTTTGACTGATTATAAGAGGAAGTTGCACTAATGCATTACAGTGAAGTGATGTGCTTTGGTATCTTAGGGTTGCTTTAATATTCTGTGAAAACAGGATTTATTTAGGCATGTTGTGTTTGTGTTTAAGCAAGATACACTCAAAATCTTATTCTCTTATATACAGTGGTGTTGTGATGTTTCTGTTTTTTTTTTTATTTTGATGAGAATAATTATAGTGAAATCCTGCAATTTATTTCTGTCTCTAGCAGACATTTGTTTTCAGTGAATTTTAGTGAAACCTTGCCCATTTTATGGAAAATGGAACCGCATGTTATATTGCAATTAGTATTTATGACTGATTTTATAAGCAGGGTAAAGCGTGCATTCAGTCTTACTGTAGATGTTGTAGCACCTTATGGCGAGGCACTGCAGGTGAATATGGTCAAAAGAAAATAGCCATATTCCTATGAAATATGAAATATTTCTGTGAAACTGTGCCAAGTAATTTTTCTGTAATAAAAATATTTGTATATTACAAGTTGGCTCAAAAACACACATTACAACACGGAAATGCATCAATGGAATGGAATACCCATTGTTGTCTATGTTGTAAAATAAATTATGAAATATATAGGCCTACTATAAATTATGTAATAAAATTCATAACTGTCAGTGTCACATTTAATTGAATTGAGTTATTGTTCTTGTTTCCTTCAGTTTAGTTCCTGTCTCCTTAGTTAATAATTCCTCTGTTTGTTAACCAGATTACTGAATACCCTCACCTGTATGTAGTTTAGTTATATGTGTAGTCCTGCTTTGTTCAGTTTCCAGATGTTATTGTGTGGTTAGAGTGTATGTTTGCCTGTATATTCCTGTTTGTGGATTAAAGACTATTTAGATTAAATTTCTTTGTCTTTTGTGTTCGATTGCAAAACCATATGTGAGAAATCCATAAGTGAGAATATATGTGCTAAGTTTGATTCATGTATGTTTAGAGGATGCTGATTAATTTGTTGATTTTTTAAACCTATATCTTTCCTTTATTTTCTTAAGGAACATGTATTTTCTTGTCTTTTTGCCCATAAATATTTATTATTAATAATGAATTTACACAATATACTCACCTCAAAAAAAAAAAAAAAAAAATTAAACGTCCTATCAACTTCAACAGCTTTTATTTCCAGCAAATTTCTTAATATGTATAAATTTAAACATAAAACGTCAAACAACTGAGACATGAACTGAGACATGAACACTTGGTTACACTTGCTTCACACACTCTCAGAAAAAAAGGTACAAAAGCTGTCAATGGGGTGGTAACTTTTCAAAAGATACACTTTTGTACCTTTTAGGTACTAATATGTACACTTTAGGAACTAATTTGTACCATTAAGGTACCAATATGGACTCTTTAGGTACAAAGGTGTGCCTTTTAAGAAGGTACCGCCCCAGTGACAGCTTTTGTACCTTTTTTTTGAGAGTGCAGGTGCATATGCAATAATGGTTAATTGAACAAGCATGAAGAACATTATTTAAACCCTTGCTAATAAAGATCTGTAAAGCTTATCTGGATTTTACAAG